TTCACTCAGGGAGACTGTGTTAATGTGTTATTACAGTACATTGGTTATCGCCAAATAATCAAAATTCATCCTTGGCTCTAATTGTCACAATTAACTGATGTGTTGTTTCAAAAATCCAATTAATTTTTTATGTTTTAATATACAACGGTCCGTCCCTATTAGACATTTTTTTTCAATAACGCGATTGTATCAATTAACCGTATTTATAATAAGCGGCTTCTATTGTAATTATCATGGTAATTATTATACATAATAGACACRCTACACATAACAGATAATAGTAAAACACAACTTCACTGCAGGACCGACTAACAAAATATGTTGCTATATTATTATTTATTGAATAAGCGATAGTAAGCGAGTAAGTGGTAAAGCTCTGCCATACATTATAGGTTCTAGGGAATTAGTGGAATCACTGTCATAGRTTTGTTAAATTTGAATTTGACAATCACAGTAGGTACCTATACGAAAAACGATTCTGAGCGAAACGGTCATTCAACCTGTAAATGGCTATAATGCTAAGTACTAAGTAAATGTTATGATTTTATTGTGATTTAAGTAATTTATTTTATTATTAGATATTACYATTGCTTAGTAGCTACTTTATTACTAAAGAAGGATAAATCAATTTTTGAAAAAAAAAAGTCATTGTGTATTATTGTTATTKTTATTATTATTTGTATACTGCATAGTACTTACAATATAATAATGTACTCTGAACAGTGAACACCCCGGCCCAACTACATAATATTCAGTGACTCCTTAGGTGCCCTTAATAGCATTAAAAATCAGTTCAAACCCGGAKACATAGCGATAAAAATATTGAACAAATTTAACGAAGCCCTGTATAAAAACAAACAAATCACTTTCATGTGGGTACCCGGCCACATCAGCATTGAAGGAAATGAACTAGCTGATAAACATGCTAAGGTCACAGTCACAAGCTCCGTATGTAAAACTATTTTTGGACCCACCTACAATGACCTTAAAAGATACATAAATGATATAACCAACATTAGATGGCTCAATACATAGAAACAATAAAACACCAAACTTAACAGAATTAAAAGTAGTACCTTCAGGTGGATAAGCAGCTCTTTAAACAGAAAAGAAAAATCGGTACTTAACAGATTGAGATTAGGACACACGCGACTTACACAAGGGCACCTAACGGCTAAGGAAGAACCCCCTCATGCGAAGTCTGTGGTGTCCAAATATCAGTGAAACACATAATAACAAAATGCCTAAAGGCTAAAATACCAGTAAAAACGACAAAACACCGGATTGGATACGACCCTCGACATCGCATTGGGACACAATGCTGTGGAGTACAATAAGATGATTTTTTTTTTGAAGTCAACAGGCCTCTATAATTTAATTTAATGATTCACAATTGTTTTTCTCCTTTTTTTGTTTTTTTATATAAGTACCAAGAAACTGTAATGATAGCCACTCTTCACAACTATGTTATACTAAAAAGAGTGTCATCATCATGTCCCTCAACATAAAATATTATATAATAATAATATGGTATTATAGAGCCA